CTACTAGTAAGGCACTTGTTACTACTAGCGTGGCACTTGTTACTAGTAGCTTCTTGTTTCTACTAGTAAGGCACTTGTTACTACTAGCGTGGCACTTGTTACTGCTTAACATAGGCTAGCAAGGAGTAAGTTGCGGCAAGACTTAGTTTGCGACCGGTTCTTCAAGCAAAACCTCCGCGCGTAAAGCGATGGGGGTGGGCTCGAGGTGAACAAGAAGCCCATGTGGGCCATGACCGAAGGAGAAAGAGAGGACCAGAGAGTTTTGATTGTTGGTCAAAGAGATGGAAACAAAACGGTTTCTCTCGCCAGGTGCTGGTTTAACGGGTGTCCTGTATTTTTTAAATATAGCACAGCGGAAGGAACAGGAAGATGTTGACGCTGGCTATCTCATCAACTTCGTTGAAGACTTGGATTATGACGAGCGCGCCTGATACGACAGTCCTGTCTAAGAGTGTGCAATGTGACGATGGTGACGACTTAGTTTTAGCACCAGGAGGATCACCTCTGAACATTCTTCGGCAGCTTTTTGAGTAGGGTGGTGGCTCCGTTCGTAGTGATGCCCTTTGCTCCTAGTAGTAAGAATGCTCCTAGTAGCGATGCCAGGAGCCCCTAGTAGCGATGCCCTTTGTTCCTAGTAGAAAACCTTGTTACTACTAGTAAGGCACTTGTTACTAGAAGCGATGCACTTGTTTCTAGTAGCAAACATTGCTCCTAGTAGTAAGGCCCTTTGCTCCGTTCGTAGCGTCCGCTCCAGGTACATCCACGACCTGGAGTTCCGAGAGTGCCTCCAAGCAATCGCAGACCGCGCCAAGCGTTTGCAGCGAGAGCAAGAAGCTTTCAAGGAGACCCTTGGGACTTTGAAACGCGGTGTGGTGGGTTTTGACCTTTCAGCAAAGGGCATCGCTACTAGGAGCAAAGGACCCTACGAGGAGCAAAGGGCATTTCTACTAGTAACAAGAAGCTACTAGGAACAAGTGCCACGCTAGTAGTAACAAGTGCCTTACTAGTAGTAACAAGGTTCGCTACTAGGAACGGTCTTGGCGCGCGGATGATAGGAACGTCGTTTTTCAGCTTGTCAGTGCGGGTGGGTAGCCAGTGTGCGGTGAAATCACGTCGATCAGAATTATCCTCATATCCACCCGCCTTGCATGCGGACAACATGCCAGTATGATGACATGTTAGCATCACACGGGGACGTCAGCGTATCTGCCAAAGCTTGCTCCGGCACCTGCTCTGAAGCCTCCTCCAGAAGCTCCGGGTGCTGAACATCGTGGGATTCCACCCTAATAGCCATGGCCTCCAACCTAATGGCGACAGCCTCCAAAGGTGTCTGAAAAGAAGCTGCTCCAAAGGAGGCAACATGCAGTTGAGGTTTCGGGCATGAAGTTTATTGAACAAAGTATTGTAATGTTTTTACATACTGAGGATTTTGCTCGTTTGACATACTGAGGATTTTTGTCATTGTTTTCGATTCGTTGGATCCATCTTTGTCAGGACTCTTTGCTGCGCGAACTAAACCAAAGCGAACCGCTGATGGAGGCAGCCGAGACAGCATTGACATTGAATTCACAGTCATGTCAACGCAATGCATATTTCAGATTCGGAGCCCCTAGTAGCTTCTTGTTACTACTAGTAAGGCACCTGTTACTAATAGGTTCTTGCTCCTAGCAGCGATGCACTTGTTCCTAGTAGCGTCCGATCGCTCCTAGCGATGCCAGGAAATTCATGCCTCCAGAAGTGGTCCAAGAGACGGAGAGCGACCTGAATGGGTTAGCGCCTAAGGGTTTTTCGCTAGTAGTAACAAGTGCCACGCTAGTAGTAACAGGTGCCTTACTAGTAGTAACAAGAAGCTAGTAGAAACAATAAGCTAATAGCTTCTTGTTACTACTAGCGATGGTCTCCAACCTAGTAGCGATGGCCTCAAAGTTAGTTCTCAGCAGCACCTTAGCGCATCATCGCTAGTAGGTTGGGGGCCATAGCTAAGTAGGTTGGAGGCTATTACTGTTACTCCTAATAGCAACAAGCTATTAGGTTGGAGGCCAGCGCTACTAGCGGAGACCATCGTTACTAGGGTGGAGCATTGAGAGTTGTGCCAGGATGCTGCAACGCTGGAAACGCCTCAGGCGGTTTGACATTTTGTGTTCTCGTGGATCCTGCAACCACCCGCAGCAGGACTCGGCTGCAAAGGCTTTGGCCGAGAAAGCGTGGCAGGAGAACATCAATTCCAGCTCAATCAAATTGTCTTGTCTTTCTTCATGGAAAGAGGGGAACATGGAAGACCATTTTGATTGGAGGAGGGTAATTTCAAGGCCGTCTGAAGCTCAAAGCGCGTGAAATGTTCTTTTAGCTAGCGCATTATGTTGGAAATTGCAGGTGTTGCCTCCAATTGCATGCTGTAAAAGACACCCCTTGTTGGTGGTTTCCAATCAGGTTCATTCCAAGACCTCTCTGCGGAAAATTGCTGAGAGAGAAGTGGAGAAGCTGTAAAGGACGTGAGAAATGCGCGGACCTGTCCGCAACTTTTGGAAAGTGAAAGAGGTTCAGGATCCTCTTCTCATTAGCCTTCGTGGACGTAGCTGTTCATCTCAACGAGAAATGCTTCAGTGTCGAAACAGATGCCTTGAGGCCTTGGGTGAGTTTGAAGAAGTAATAGTATTACTACCAGTAACAAGAAGCTACTAGTAGCTTCTAGCTACTAGTAGCGATGCCCTTGATACTAGGTAGCGATGCCAGCAGTTCTTAGTTGTTTGTTTCCCGTTTTGACTCAGAAATTCCCATGTTTCACATATAGAGAGTGTTGCAATCCAGATCCGCTCGCACGTCATTTGGCCGTTTCACAAACGTCTCACCGGCCTCACCGTTGACCCCGACCAAGATTGCCTTGTGTCAGGAAAAGATTGGCTTCCCAAACAAACTCAAGTCAGGCAAAGGACCTCAAGCACGGCAAAAGCAAAAGGGCAAACTTTGAGCCAAGGCAGAGAGAACTTGAACCTCCACCGTACAATTGATGGCCTCCAACCTACTTGCGATGGCCTCCAACCTACTTGCCCAACCTACTTGGATGGCCTCCAACCTAGTTTTGATGGCCTCCACCCTACTAGCGAACTTGATGCCTCACAAAGTTCCTAGTAGCGAACATTGTTACTACTAGTAAGGCACCTGTTACTACTAGCGTGGCACTTGTTTCTACTAGCGAACCTTGTTAGAACATGTTTTCTCGCGTTTCAACCGCACCCTCACGGAGTGCAAAACGCCGCAGAACGCTCGCATTTGGGCTACGAGTCTATAGTCACAAATGCGCAATGGGGCTATGGTATAAGGATACCCTGCAACGGACTCTAAGTAAGACATTGCAAAGCTGAATAAGGACGCTACTAGGAACAAGTGCATCGCTTCTAGTAACAAGTGCCTTACTTCTAGTAACAAGAAGCTACTAGTAACAAGTGCCACGCTAGTAGTAACAGGTGCCTTACTAGTAGTAACAAGAAGCTACTAGCGTCCTTGCTCCGAATAGCGATGCACTTGTTACTACTAGTAAGGCACTTGTTTCTACTAGCTTCTTGTTACATAGACCTTAAAGGCCCTTGCCAAAGCCTCATTCATGGCCACTGCCATTCTCCTCCTTGCCACGAAGCCCGCTGCTCGCTTGCCTCCCATGTGGACAACGAACCGGGCTTAATGCCTGCTGCCCCAAACAGAGCACGTGATCTTTCAAATCCCACAAGACTCACGCATTGCAACTTGGCCATTTGAAGCATACGCAACTTCCATATGGAAGGAACTGATAGATGCTTTGACCACAACGGAAATTGCGGGTGTTCCAAGAACCCGCATCCTCCCATGCAAGCAAACCAGAAGAGCTCCACCAGGGTCTCGAGCCGTGCGACTTGTCGATGTGGTTTCTGCTTTCTCGGCAAACCGAATGGGTGCTACTAGTAACAAGTGCCACGCTAGTAGTAACAGGTGCCTTACTAGTAGTAACAAGAAGCTACTAGGAACCATCAGCACCGGGAAGACTCCCCGGCCAGCACGCTGCCGTCCAAGTCTCGCAGGGGGCCCTCCCCCGAATCCAAGAACGCCAACAGCTTCCAAGATCCTTGTTACTAACAAGGTTCGCTACTAGGTTTGCTACTAGGAGCAAGAAGCTACTAGGGGCTCTCGTCTCAAATAGCGATGGCCTCCACCCTATTAGCTTCTTGTTACTAGTAGCGATGGCCTCCAACCTAATATCGATGGCCTCTCCCTAGTAGCGTCCTTGTTACTAGCAGTAATGATTTCGCCCAATCATATTGCCTTGGCCTTGGAGGCACAAGTCCACACAATACAGCTGACGCTTGACAAGCTGACTTTGTGATTGAATCTGACCCTGCAAATCACCTGGACCTCGAAAGCCAGCGTAAACATGAACAACAGATCAACCTCGACGTGCAATCGACGATCAAGGCAGCTCAACAAGAGATGCCGCAGTGAACCTAAAAGAAAAACACACACGGCAAAAAGTGTGTTTTTGTTTCTTTTTGGGTTTCTCTTGAGCGTTTCAGGGTCGTTCCATTCGAGAGATTCTGCATTTTGGGCTCAGTGGGAGGGGAGTCATGGCCGAAGAGGATGAAACGCCCACGCCCACCACCCTTCGGCAGGTCGACCTGAAAAGTGTCAGATGTCCTTTGCTACTAGTAACAAGTGCCTCGCTAGTAGTAACAGGTGCCTTACTAGTAGTAACAAGAAGCTATTAGAATTAATATTAAAATTAAATTAACTAATAGCGTCCTTGCTCCTAGTAGCGATGCACTTGTTACTACTAGTAAGGCACTTGTTTCTACTAGCTTCTTGTTACTACTAGTAAGGCACTTGTTACTAGAAGCGATGCCCTTTGCTCCTAGTAGCGTCCTTGCTCTTAATAGCAATGGCCTCCAACCTAGCGGATAACACTTTGCTATTTTGATTGTCAATGCGTTGTCGCGACAGGTCTAGGCGTGAGCGCACATGTCTCCAAAACGCACAGGTGATGTGGGATGGGCCCACGAAGCCCTTCTCCAGGCCAAAACGGGTGCGAGCAAGCGGGTGCGAGGTGTGAAAGAGACTCGATGATTAGGTTATGGTTGTAGCATCTCAACTCTTTGAATAGCAGTTCTCACTTCAAAGCACACATGTTCACATATCTAGCAACCTTGGACAAGTAAACTAGTGACGATGTTTGACTCAAGCACCGGCTGCAAGCTCGGTATGGGTAGGGATGAGCAAAGGCAGTCATCCATTTGTGCCCGAATCACCCGGGCCCTGAACCCCTGAGTCGTCAGGAGACGACAGTTTCTTGCTCGATTGCGGCTGCATTTGAGCCAACGCTTCGTTTCTTTGGATATCTTTGCTGAAGCTTTCCGATGGTAGCGGAGCCGATCTTTCCAGGAAGAAAAGACATTGGGGATGCCGCTGAACTGTTGGATCACCCGGAGGTCCAAAGGCACAGTGACCATCCATGCAAACGTCAAGACTGTGGTGGGACCTCACACAGCTCTTAAGAACCTCCGTTGAGCTTGCCCTTGTTCTAGCCACCTCAGAAACACCTGCTTGGATGCACGTGCAGTTCAAAAGGCACTTGTGAGAAGCAGAGCTGGACTGAAGAAGTTCAATGAGCCCTTTTCGGCAAAGCCGAATGTCAAGGCCATCAGCCCCGGACAATGAAGAATGGCATGAAGCTTTCCGTGAAGATATGGAGCGCAACGGGCTTCGTTTCTGAGAAGACCTATAGCCCTGACCATCATCAGTTGTGAACTGATCAACTTGGACCACGTCCACATCCTTTAGCGTGTAGATGACCTGACATAGATAGCCTGAGTTTGCAGAAAAGTGGCTAAGCACTCAAGTGAGAGTGGACATGACAGCAGTTTGCTAAGTAGTTCTATCTTAATTGAAGCCATTCTGGCAAAGGGGGTTTGACGCGGGAGTGGTTTCATCATGAAGTGCCTTGTATGGCTTGCCCTGCAATGCGCCCCCCTTTCGTGTCATGTGAACCAGTCATACGCCCAATTGGCGCAGAGGTCTCGAAGTTGATGTAGAGGCTAGTCCAACTGGTCCATCGTAAGCCTGCAAGACAAGCACGCCGAAATGAGTGGCTGCTGGTCGCAGGGCTCGACCCAAGACATCGCCAAACGTTTCACTTCACTGACTGACGCCGAGCCTTCCAAGGATCGTCTGAATTTGAAACAAGTTCGACCCTTCAATCATCTCAATTTTTTATGCAGAGTGCTTTGCAGTCACTGTTGTCAACGCGCGAAGCACCAGTCAACAAAAGCAATCAGAACACTTTTTGGACGTCGCTCATTCTTGCCAGGTGCCAGGTACAGTGAACAACACCACAGCAGCAAACAGCGGGAAAAAAGAATTTGCAAACAAAAAACGACCAGCAGGGCCAGAGTGCGCTCCAACGTGCATCGTATGTCTTTGCGCTAACAATTACTGTGCGCGCGTTGTGCGCCTTGAGGGGCACCAGGGTACAGACAGGCCTGTGACAAGCGTCATGTCGACGTCATCTCCTACACAGCAGTGATGACAGGGCGGGGAGAGGGCCTGATCTGCCATGTTGAAAGATCTTCCTTGGCTTGCTGCAGTGTGCCTGCCTCCAGTGTACCTAAGACCACCCATCATTGACAGTGCAGACCAGATTGGTTAAGAAACGCTCGGGTTTCAGAAGGGTTTATGCAAGAAACAAAGAAGTTTGAGTGGCTTGTGGCAAGGGTAGGGAATGAGCACACTCCGATGAAGGCGTGGTGTCAGCTGTGGTGGAAGCGGTGCTGTTGACTTTGGCGCATTCTACACGCAATGATCTCCGCAGAGGGTTCCCGCGCGCAACGCAAAATTGGCATTCTTCTCGCATTCGAAGTGCGCGATGTCCGCAGAGGGCTCAATGCCCACATTTACAAAATTCGCATTTCGCCTCACGTTCGCGCATTCGACGCGCACGATCTCCGCAGATGGCTCCTCGCGCGCAATCAGACTTGAATATCCACAGTTTCGCGCGCTCGACGCGCGCGGTCTCCGCAGAGGGTTGCATTTGGATAGCATCGCCCCGGCCACCCGCTGCCTTAAGAGTAATTTTATGTAATTATATAAAGCGTTCGATGTTGTAGATGATGACCCTTGACAGTCATACCAACCACCTACATCTGTGCAACTTCATTTGCTGATGACGATGGCGGTGTTGCTGATCATGGTGATGATGATGGTGATGTTGATGATGATGGTGATGATGGGCATGATGATGAGAGCGGTGATGCTGATGCTGATACTGTTTACAATGATGCTCATGATGCTCATGATAATGGTGATGATGGCGATAAAGATGATAGTTCGACAGTTGAACTTGGTAGACATTCTTGATGTAGAACCCCTCGAAGGTGGTTTCGGGAAAAAGGAAGCAAAGGGCGAAAATGTCGAAAAATCATGGCAAGAAAAACGGGGGCTCAGGAATT